TTACTGTCCTATCGACAGCATTTATTACCTTTTAGTGATTTGCACATCCAGGAATATATTCTTCTTGGGAATTACTTCCTGTTACAGTATTTATAGTAATGCTATGTTCTGTTATATATTAAGCAAATATGTATACCTGAGTTGAATCATATTTTATGATTCCAATTTCCTGTTGTGTGGAGTATAGTAAGTGTAGAATTGTACTGTAGTATGAACATTTGAAATTTATGTATTCCTGAGTCGAAATTTTCGTGTATATCTATTATAGTTATTTATAGCGGCATCTGTGATTTTAATGATGTATTTCTTCCGTGATTGTATTGAAATTCTAAATAGTACGGTTTCTGAATAAGGTAGATAATGAACAGAAACGTAAACTGTGAACCGTAACAGACAGAAACCGATGCTCAACTATAATCATGAATGGGGTATTATGTCGGAAGCTTCCATGTCATTGAATAATGCTGGAACAGAAATATTCGGCTGCAAACGAATGTTTCATTGAATAAAGATGAGACAGTATGAAGGATGTCAATAGAGGAGTAGTTTTCAGCAAAACAGAGAATTACCTTTTCCCCACTTCTTAAAGACTAGTGAGTAGATTATTATTAGATACAGCATCGGGGTTTACTAATTAAGCAGCTGCAGGGTAGTATCTTAAACAATAGGAATCCTCAGAGTAATCAGTCATATAATTATACGATGGCATTAATGTAAACCTCCTGTACTTCATAGTAATAAGATGTGTTTCTCGTCCCTTGTTTTCTGTCTCGTGGATAGTTATTATTATAGCATAGTATAACGGACATTCACAATTTTTCTTTCCCTATAAGACAATGTCACTTTGGATACTGCTATGTTAGATACAACCTCCTACGTGTTTATTATTTTCTTATTTGGAGTGTCCGTTATCTATGAGAATATCGAATGATGATCTCTTCTTTACTGATGAGGGGAATCTGTAGAAACTCCTTCAAGAATGTAATTGCGATATTGAATAAGTTTTCAGCAGAGAGTATTTATTCAGAAATTCGTTAAAGAGCGGAATTATCCATTCCTCTTGCTTACCATATCCTGATATACTCCGTGAATAGATATGTATAATATAAATGCTGTTTTTATAATTACAGGAATGTATACCCGCCGATTATCCTTCTATATTCATTCCTTTCCGGATTCTATCGTTATTTATAATAGAACAAATATTGTTTCACATGAATCAATCTAATTTATCATATATTTTTGCTTCATATGGTGAGATAAAGGAAAACAATCGGGAAGAAGCTATGGAGACG